AAGTTTTGAAGAATAGAATTTGTCGTTGGTGGAGAAGGAGTAGAATTTTCGGAATCCGGTCGAATAAAATGGTAGCATCACACATTCGAGAGATAAAGTTATCGACTTTATTCCATGTTACAATCCCTATTTTTTTTAATTGCCGTCCCATTAACTACCTAATTTTCTTATATAAAGTTAACCTATTTTACTCAAAGAGGTTGACTTTTCCATTTTTTACCAAAAAAATGCTCAAATTATAAAGTGTCACGCCAGAAATGAGCACATTCGATTTTTTTTCCAATAATGAAAAATATTGCCCTACCCTAAAAGTCAATGGGCGAAATGACCGTTTCTTGAAATTAATGTATTGAACAAATGAACCCTAAACAGAGCCTTGCTTATTATTTCAATGACCAAATCTGTTCTTTATGGACTTCCCTTTATATTGTGTTTACTGGGCCTAGAGATCTTCTATATGTCTTCTTCTATGCGTATCCCAGAAGCCACAGGGACAGCATTCGATTCTCTACTGAAAGTTGTAAGAAGAGAAGGAGATAAAAAGATGCCGATGAATACGTTGGAAGCAACAGTATCAACATTTGATGGGGTTTTTGAGAAATTTACAAGTGAATCTCCAAAACACAAAGCCAATTTCATCGTCTTCTTGGCTGACAAAGACCCATCCACCAATCTTAGCTGGTGCCCTGGTAAAATTCAGCCCATTTACGTATACAGTTTTGTGACAGTTTATTTAACGCTGACTAAGATTATTATATTATAATTGGCGAATTGATTGCAAAAGGGGTAATGGATAGGGGTTTAATTGAGAAAAAACAAAAGCCCAAGTCCCATATTGGGGATTTTACTATCTGTTAAACTTCTAGTATATTCTTTACCTCTGATTGGGGGAATACTGTGCATGGATTGATGTTCTTTCAGTTATTTTCTTGGGGTTTCTTTTTCTCTAATAATGGAGTGTGGAAAGTACAGTTATCTGACATTGTGCTGTATAAAGTAACAATTAAAATTGCTTACATAACATGGCCATGAAATGATGATTATATAAAATTTGTCTTCTTGATAATTTCATTGAAATTAGGAATGTCAATTTATGTTGGGTTGCGGATTATTGCTGGTGAGCTGATTCTGACATTCTGTTCACCCTTTTTGGTCCTTGTGGCTTATGTATCATGTATGTAAACTAGTATGATAACATGGTTTTTCTCTGTAATGACTCAAAAATGTGGTTTAATGTTCAGGTTCATCCTTTTCCTTACTCTGACCTTAGTATTGGATGAATTTTACAATACGCATTAGATTTCATCTGTTTGTCCTTCTATTTCAAACTAGAAATAAAGGATTTAGTCAAAATGATAAAAATAGTGTTCTCGTGTAATTTCAAATCTTCACTACTAATATCTCTTGGCTCTTGTTTGTTTCCTGGTTTTTGGCTCAGATGAGTCTACTTTACACTATCCCTGATGGATGTATCGAAGAAATGAATTATATGCATGCTTAGCCTGTTCAATGCCGACATCCACAAGTACACGAGTGATCAAAACTTTGCTAGTTTTGACGAAAAGAAAATGAATCTTGTTAGATATTTTTGGATCAATAATGGGTGCTTTTGTCATTGCGTCGATGGTTTCAAGTATTTTCTCTCATTCAATTATAGTAACTGATTAGAGCATACGAATCAGTAGTTAATGGTGTTTCTGCAGCATCCCTCAAGAAATGCCTCAGAGAGGCATTCCCATTTTTCGTTATGGGGATGATGCAAAGAGCTAGGCATATGATTATTTAAGCAAGGTACATGCTTCATTATGTGGGTCGTGTTCTTTCATCCCCCATCAAAGAAATGCACATGCCCAGTGGGCTTTAGATTGATAAGGCATTCTTTTTACACCCAGGTAGGCTTGACGTACACCTTCACATTATGTTTATTTGACCTCTTCATATGATGTAGGGTAGCTGCAGATTCGGAGGGGCAATAGCCCTCTGCTATGTTTCTTCTGGATGGCTGAATAGAGAAGTTTCCTGATTTGTATTTTTCTTTTTAATTTATTTATTTTT